AAAAAAAAAAAAAAAAAAAAAGATTACCTAGGAAATATTGGCCTAAAACTACTTTTAAATTCTACCTTTTAGACTGATACACCCTTTAAAGTTATCACTGTGAAAAATGAAAGACTTCAATAATGATCAATATATTTTGCACAAATATATTTTGAAGCATACAGAACTCCATTATTTTAAAATATTAACCAATTTGGTCAAGACTACCTAATAGTCACTTTTTTTCTCATCTTCAGTTATATATTTGAGAAGTCATCACAAAAACAAGAAGGAAATCTACTTTTAATTGAATCGTGAGTATAAGCCTTTTAGGTTACATGTACCTAAATATTATGCAATAATAGGAATTTATCATTTATTTTCCTTCCTTCCAATATCATTTTCCTCAAAATATGCTTCTGCACAAGATTTCTCCATATTGCTACACAGAAATCTAACAATGAAGGGAAATAGTATACTTAAACAGAAGAATCTGAAAAAAGAATACCAATCACAAGAGAAGTATAAAACATAAGACTGATTTGGAGTCAAGATGAAAACATTTGTATTTAAAAAAAAGAAAATATTAGTATTAAAAGCCACTTTAAAGCAGACTTTAGGCAAATTAGACATTTTGCATCCCATGTCACAAAAATCTGATTATGCCTAAAGACTACCTAGATAATGGAAGGTAACTTACTCTCTCACATCACCACAATGACATGCCAATCATGTCAAGTGAGAATACAATAGTTTCTAAAGTAAACAGTAATACTGTAATATATTAAAGTAGAAAAAAAGAGTAGAAATAGTCAACTGTAAAGGCCTACTCAAAAGTTACATCTGTGAAAAACATATGGATTGATCTATATCCTTCCAGATTGATCTAGATTACAGATGATTCAGTTTATATGGTCAATTACTTTCAAATTGGTAGGGGAAGACTGCTCTGATCAGCACCTTAGTAAAAAATAAATAAATAAATAAATAAGTGGGGGGAAGGGAGTGGTAGGGGCAGTGATAAATTTAGCCAGTCTTACTACAACTGTTCTAATAGCTCTTCCCATTTATATTTAAAGCAAGAAAAATTGAATGTGCTCAACACTTACAGTAACACATATGCACCAATTCTAAAAACCTTTATAGGTGTTAACTGGACTACCCACTGGCATAGTGTGCTACTGTGCCTAGAAATTATGTATGACAGAGCCATGTAAAAAAAAAAGTTTTGTATCATTACCTATCTATGTCACCACAAAACAGACTTAAGTTTTCAAGGCAGAAAGATCCTTATTGTCATCAAAATACTTCAAACACAGTAAGTTAAGCACATACACATTGCTTAGAAATGGAAAGGTAAAACTAAAGTCAATCACTGTTATGTTTGACAATGGCAGTTCTAATTTCTTAAGTACTATGTTTTATACCTGTTTCTCAAAGTGGAAAACTGTACCTGAGGAGGATAATAATAAAAGCTAGTATCTAGTGAACACAGTACCACACCCTGCAATAAATTTTTTTCATGTACTACTATCTAATTTAACCCTGAATAATCTTAAAAGGTATGGACTCTATCCCCATCTCAACTAAAGGTCATAAATAATTTACCCAGGAAGTGGCTGAGATAGATTTTAACCCATGACCTAGAACCAAGATAAATGGGAGGAGAAGGAAGTTGTTGAGGAAGATCAGAGATTTAACTCCCAATGTAGAAAGGCATACTGTTTACTGATGGCAGATAGTCCCTCCCTATAACTTGGAATGGTTTTCAATCTTGGCTACACATTAGAATTACCTGTGAGATTTTATTATTTATTTACTTATTATTTTAACTATCCATGTCTAGGACCCTCATTTCGTACTTGGCCTTCAACGGGCCTGGGGTGGAGCAAAGGCCTTTTCTTAAAGCCACTCAGGATTCTAAGGAACAGCTAAGTTTGAAAACCACTAATAATTCTTTTCTATCCTATTAGCCTCTCCAAGTAGCCAACTACAGTCAAGTTTACTGATTACCTATTTGGTTCTGAGTACTTTGCCCACTAGTACATTTTCCACTTACCCAACAAAGTGCTTTTCTTCTCCTTAACAGAGGAAACAATACAACTACAGTACCGCCTTTTTAAACGACAAAATTCTGCTAGCTTTTCTTTGACATGAGGAATGTAGTGGGAATGAAAGATGGCATGACGAAGTTTGGAAATCATTTCTTTATGCATCTACATACTCCTTAGGCTTAAAACAATGCAAAAAGGTCCTAAAAGTCAAAATAAAAGCAAATGGCAGGTTATGAGTTCTGTGATATATGTTAAAAGTTTAATATTCATGATATTTGGTTATATTTCTCAAGCTGGTAATGACAGAACACTTAGAAAGTGTTATGGTGGTGATAAATTCCACTGTCTTGTCATGGTGCTACGACAGCAATTATGCAGTGCCCTGTTAAGTCACCTGAATATAAACTAACAGGTGCCAAAGAAATCAAAGCATTACATAAGCATACCCAAACGACAATATGACTGGTCATATCATGTATTGAGAAATGCAATTATTTTGCTGACAAACTTATTATGAGAAGTCTTACTGTTTCTCTAAGTTATCCACAGCACATCCCACTCACTGTTCGCCAAAATATAATGAAGACTGTCCAAGACATTCTGCAACTTGCTGGCCCTTTTGTTTTACTGAAAAGGTGAAGAAGTACAGAGATATCTGACAAGTATGGAAGTTTGATCTATGACTTGAACAAGAGATCTAAAATGAGAGAGTATCAATATTCAGGTGGTACAAAACTGTGGACTTCACAGAGAAACATTACAAAACTTCCTGCTTCCGGACAGCTCATTATTTGGTTCAAGTCTTCACATTCCTTTATTTGTCATGGCCTTTCCGAAAGCTTTCCTTCCTTATTGTTTAATACTAGACTTTTAATGTTACTAGTGGGACTTACAGGGACTCAACACATTAAGAAGCTCCAAGTTCATGCCCCAAGGAGGAACTTTGGGACTACAATTTTCCCTCAGTAACCTGAGCAGAGTGTATGTCCCTCACGTAAATTTTTTTTTTTTAAATTTGTCGAAAACATACTTCTTTCTGCATATCTTAAATTTGTGTTCAACTATATATTTTTATCACGTACAATTACAAGAACTTGCGTTAGTTCTGCGGAAATTAACTCTGTGGAAGAAGAACTGGAAGACCTGTGAGCATGTGTGAAATAGACACGACAGGGAGCCTCGTTGCCAATTGTCACTGGGGTCTCACACGGCCCAGATCTGGCCTCTGAGCCATGTCACCGGGTGCAAAGACACAGAGAACCACAGGATAACTGGGCGAGAAAACAAGGAGGCTCCCTGTCAATACCCGTATTTCCACCCCGACGCTAGCTGAAGGGTGGCCCGCAGGGCAGACCCTAATGAAAACCCATGCCTACTGGGATCGTCACATCGCCCGGGCCTGTAGGGCCTGCTAAAGGGGTGTGTGGAGGAGAAAGGACAGCGTCCGTCCCCACTTCGGAGACCCAAACAAATGAAAATAAGGCAAGTTCTTACTTCCTGGTCGCCTACTCTTTCCGAAGGCCCCCGACACCAGACGGACACCGAGGAAAGGGGACTCCCATGGAGTAACGGGGCCCACCCCAGCCCCGCACCTCCCGCCCTCACCCTCCTCCGGGCCTTACACGGTGACGTGACCGGAGCCGCGGACCACCACCGGGTCCGGCGAGTACTTGAGCAGCTGCTCCTCCAGGGCCCGCTCCTCGTCCTCCTCTTCCTCATAGATCTCGTCAAAATCCGCCATCCTGAGCCTCCGAGCGCCCCTGCCCAAAGGGGCCTGACTCCCGGGGTTGGCGCCGGGGTACTGGCGGGCGAGGCGGCGGAGGCTGAGGGGAGTCGCCGCTGCCGCCGGCTCCGAGGCCGCGGAGTTCCCTCTCTGCTGTCTCGGCTCCGGCTACAGAGGAGACGGGGTCTGGACCATCGCCGCTACCGCCGCCGCCATTACTATCAGCAATAACAACAACACAATGTCAACATCCGCCCAGGGGCCGACACATCCACCGGCACCGCCGCCGCTGCCGCCGCCGCAGCAGCAGCAACTCTGGCAACCACAGCAACAGCCAGAGCCACCCGCAGCGGGAGCAGCCGGCTACGGCATCGCGAGACTTCCCGGGCGTGCGGACGGGCGGGCGCGTGCGTGGGCGCGTGGGCGCGTGGGCGAGTGGGCGCGCGGACTGGCTGGCAGGCAGGCGGGCGCGCGCGCGCACACATGAAGCCTCGCGCGCTCCCAGGCCGCCGTCTTTCCTCTGCTTCCACCCGCCGACGGCGCCTGGGGCGCGCGCTCCCGCAAGCGCGGCCCGGCTCGCGGGCTCCTGAGTCGCAGACCCGGGGGGCGGCGGCTCTACTGACTGGAGGCTGCAACCCCACGACTCGGACAACGCAGCCCAGCGTGTCCACTGGGACATGCAGTTCCCCAAAGTCATCTCTAACCCAAACAAACAACTGAAAAGAAAAGCCCTGGCTGGAATAGACACATTTTTGTGCGTGTCATTGACAGTTTATCCGATAATCGAATCTCGCTTTTCCTCAGGTTTTCAGTCTATGATGAGCACCAGAGTCTCTTTTTTCCCAGTGGGAGGAGCGCAGCAGAGACATTGCGAACATTTGTGTCCACTACAGGATTTCCAAGACGCCTCCAAATTCAAATATCTTGTCCCTTGATCCCCTTAAATATAATCCAATATATGAGGCCAGTGATGCTGGTATTTTTTTTTTTTTCCTTACAAGAAATCTCACCGTAGTCATGCTATGAAAGAAAGCTGATAAACTACCTGGATTCCATATTAGAAGATGCAGTAACCTGTTTTTTTCCTTAAAACCTTAGAGAATTCCTTTTCTTACCAGTTCCTCCCACAGAAAAGACCTTGAAAGAAAGGGAGGAAGAAAAGGAAGCAGGAAGGAGAAAGGATAGGACGAGAAGAAGGAAAGAAGAAAGGGAGAGAGAAAAAAGGAAGGAGGGGAGGAAGGAAGGAAAAGGTTTCATGGAGCCTACTTATCTGCCTAGTAACGGCTGAAGGGTCACTTTGGGTACTTGGTGTCATTAAGCATACAAACAGTCCAGGGGCAGGAGTGGGTTTCTGAGAAGAGAGTCCTGGACAGTGAGGATACACCATGGGAGAAGAGAGGATAGTTCTACTGAGCCCAGCGCTGGTCTGGCTGTTCTCCAGGTGAGGCGGTGTTTATGTCACAGTAGTTGGCTTTAGGTGGGTCACTGCTAACATGGAGAAAGTCCAAAGGAGGTCAAGGAAGACAGTGAGAAATGCCAACCTCCTATTGGTAACTGAAGGAAATGAGTGTGGTTAACCAAGAAAAGATGAAGGAAAATACAGTAAGTGTATCAGACTTATTGTATCCCTCCCCAGAGGATAACTGTTCATTCAACAAATATCTACTGAACTCCAGCTATGTGGCAGGCACTGTGCGCATGTGTGAATGAGGCTTAGGCCCTGCCTTCCAGTAGCTTATGTATTGTTAAGGCAACAATTGTCGTCTCTGCCAGGGGCTCATGGAGGAGAACACAGAGTGTTAGTGGGGCACACGGGTGCTTAACAATGTGGGTTCTGGAACCTGACTGCCTGGCTTTGAATCTCAGCTCTGCCACTTACTGTGTAACTCTGGACAAGTCACTTAACCTCACTGTTCAGTACCTGCCCCGCTGGGATGCTCAGCAGATTCAAGGGCTGAAGATCTATGAAGTGCCTAGAAGAGGGCCCGGCATACAATAAATACACAGGGTGTTAACAGGTGACACTTAAGGCTCCCTAGCTTATCAACCCTATGAGGATCACCACAGCATTGTGTCATATTTTACTGCTTATAAATCACATGCATATCATTTAATATTCCCCTCAGAACCTGTGAGGTAAGCCAAGAGGGTGAATTTATTCCTTAGTTTCAGAGATGCTATATAGCTTTCTCAAGGCCACGTGACGATTTAAGATTTAATGATGGTCGGGCCCGGTGGCTAATGCCTATAATTCCAGCACTTTGGGAGGCCGAGGCAGGCAGATCACCTGAGGTTGGGAGTTCAATACCAGCCTGACCAACATGGAGAAACCCTGTCTCTACTAAAAACACAAAATTAGCCGGGCATGGTAGGGCATGCCTGTAATCCCAGGAAGCTGAGGCAGGAGAATCACTTGAACCTGAAATGTAGAGGTTGCAGCAAGCCAAGATGGCCCCATTGCACTCCAGCCTGGGCAACAAGAGTGAAACTCCATCTCAAAAAAAATAATAATAATAAATAATGATCTAATTGAGTGCACTGGGTAGGGAAAGTTTTCCCGAATGTCCTTTTTTTTTTTTTTAATTTTTATTTTTGAGACAGAGTCTCACTGTCTCACCCAGGCTGGTATGCAGTGGCACCATCGTAGTTCACTGCAGCCTCAGCTCAAGTGATCCTCCTGCCTCAGCCTCTGAATTTTTTTCCTGGCAGGAGCCAGGAGACTAGTGGCTTCACTCAGTTAAAGGAACAGCTGCAAACAGGAAGATAAGAAGGAAATAAGGGCAGTATGTCCCGGCACAGCCCACATCTGGCTGTGGCTGAGAATTCACCTTTATGTAGAAACAGTGGCCAAGGTAAGGAGCTAGTGCCCCAAAGTATCTAAATCATCACATAGCTGACAACTTGCCAAGGACAGAGGAAGCCACACAGCTCCTTAAAACCCCAGCACCTTCCACAGTTCCTGCTTCAGAAAAGGAGCTTAATAAATGCTATCTGAATTGAGCTACATTGTTACTAGTGCTCTTTCCAGAACACCAGAATGAGTTAATCAGGCTTCAGAGGACTGTGAGAACCTCACCCTTATCTTAACACTGGCTCAATGTGGGAGAAATGTTCTTATTCCAAGATCTATTCAACAGAGAAATCTTTGTAGCTCCCACCGCCTGGGTATATGGTGGAAAGAGAGAATTGCCTTGTCTTTTTTCCTTTCTGTGTGTGTGTGTGTGTGTGTATGTGTGTGTGTGTGTGTGTTTGTGTGTGTGTTCTTTTTCCTGCTCTGAAAAACCTGTCAGAGCCAGCAAAAGGGTGTGGGACCTGGGAACAAGGCCAAACGGGTAAGCGAACATGAGTCAAACATTTTCCTGATGAGAGTTGACATCATAATTCCAACCCCCCACCTCCACCCCGCCAACCTTCCAGGATCCAGTTTCCTGTGAAACTGCTTCCCCCAATTTCTCCATGGGGATGGGCGCTTTTCCAGGACCCTCTCCCTCTGTGTCCAGGTGTTCCCCTGCTCCCTGCAAACTGCCCATCCCTCCATAGCCTCCTCCTCTTCATTGGAGTTTCTCTCTATTCTTTTTTTTTTTTTTGGATATTTTGCACAACTTTTTTTTTTGTTTGTTTTTTTGGTTTTTTTTTTTGAGATGGAGCTCCGTACTGCCCCCCGGGCTCGAGTGCAGTGGTGCGATCTCAGCTCACTGCAACCTCCACCTCCCGGGTTCAAGCGATTCTCCTGCCTCAGCCTCCTAAGTAGCTGGGATTACAGGCGCCCACCACCACACCCAGCTAATTTTTTTGTATTTTTAGTAAAGGCGGGGTTTCACCATGTTGGCCAGGCTGGTCTCAAACTTTACATTCTTGCCTCACACATTTTCATATTAACTTCAGACCAAATGGCTCAAAACCAAACTGGATAATGTCTCCAGGCCTCAGGAGGCAGTAAGACTTGTTTTTAAGGCAAATATTCCTTAGTTAATTCCTTAGATTTCAAAACTCCCAGTTCTGTTTCTACCTAGCACAGCGGCCGTTGACAGCCTCACCTTTCTAAGCTTCCTTTTCTCCATCCTCAAATGGAAACTATGTCATGGGGTTCTGGAGGATCAAATGAGATCGTGCATATACTCTGGAGTGAATTGTGTCCCCTATCCCCAAAATTCATATGTTGAAGCCCTAACCTTCAATGTAATGGTATTTGGAGATGGAGCCCTTGGGAGGTAATTAGGTTGAGATGAGGTCAAGAGGTGGGGGCCCTTGTGATGGAATTCGTGCCCTTATAAGATGAAATTCTAGATAGTTTGGGATCTCTCTGTGCCATGGGGACATGGCAAGAAGACAGTCATCGGCAAGCCAGGAAGAGGACTCTCACCAGGGACCAAGTCATCAGGAACTGTGAGAAATAAATTTATATTGTTTAAGCCACCCAGGCTACAGTGTACTAAATCTTTACATCCCCACCGAATTTGTATGTTGAAATCCTACCCCTCAAGGTGATAGTATCAGGAAATATTAGGGCCTTTGAGGGTGATTAGGTTATGAAGGCTGAGCCCTCATGAATGGGATTAGTGCCTAGGCCCCAGAGAGCTGGTTTGGCCTTCCACTGTCTTAGAACACAACAATAAATGTTATCTAAATTGAGATAACCATCTATACGAGGAAAAAGGTCCTCACCAGACACCAAATATGCCAGCCTTTTGATCTTGGACTTCCCAGTTTCCAAAACTGTGAGAAATAAATGTCTGTTTATAAGTCACATAGTTTATGATATTTCATTACAGCAACCCAAAGGGACTAAGACACAGTCTATGGTATTTTGTGCGGCAGCCTGTATGTGTGGAACAAAACACACTGAATGTGCTTTTTCCTATTCTTTCACTTAGCAACAATAACCAACACAGAAGACTTCTGTGACCAGATATGTGCATTGGCGGTGGGTGAGAGGGGTTCTCCACAAACAAGCAAGCAATCACTTCTGCAGTGGGCACCAGCTGTATGTCCTAATTCAATTCCAACACTATCTACCTGGAGATAGCGTCAGATCCCACAGGTTGAGGGCTCAGTCCGCCAGACTGCACCCTCCACTTCAAACACCAGTCACAAGTCCAGGTCTCCAGAACTTCTGACTGACCAACTATAAATTGGGGTTCCCACAACACCTTGCTCAGGTTCAATTAATTTGCTAGAGTGGCCCACGTAACTCAGGGAAACAGGTTTACCAATTTATTAAGAAGGATATTTCATTTCATTTCACTTATTTATTTACTTTCTGAGACAGAGGTACAATCACCACTCACTGCAGCCTCAACCTCCCTGGGCTCAAGCAATGCTTCCACCTCAGATTCCTGAGTGGCTGGGAATGCAGGCATGCACCACCACACCCAGCTAATTTTTTTATTTCTTGTAGAAATGG